GTAAATGGTACAAGTTAGGGGAATTGACTTGGCAGAATGTAACTTACATTGCTGGAATCCTTGCAAGTTAGTGATTAATTTGAATATAAACATCACATAGTTTGCACTAGACATAAAAGATTTAGTAATTATTTAGTACATTTGAGTAGTCAACCCTCGCTTTACGCGGTCCCACTTTACGCGTTTCTACGTTTACGCGGTACCCTGCCAAAACCGGAATGCTCACTTTTCGCGGTGTGTGTACCCTTTTACGCGGAGAGCGGCGCGAGCAGGGTGCGCACAAGGTCGCCCAGTCATCAAAACATTACCGAGTTCTTCACCCGCCACCCACCACAGCCGGCCCAAGTCAGTGATAGTGATAATGATAGTGAAGATATGGACTTATATGGACTTTGAGGGGTTTGACAAAGAGGCCCTGCAAGCCTCTGTGGTGGATAGTGATACAATTGATACAAGTGATACAGGTGAGGGCCAATAATCTGCCCTCTGCCTCGGAACCAACCCCCCATCCCCATGTGCCCAGCCATCTTTTCTACTAATGTAAGTGTTAAAAAACCTAATATTATTGATATTTCTCTTAATTATTAATTGTGTGTGCATACCATCATAAAATTAAGAAGTTATTTTTACTACAACGTAGGTATTGTGCCTGAAAAAGTGGAGTTTGGGGGTCGGCCCGGTCTCTATTTCAATTAATCCCATATGTTATGTTGTTCACTTTACGCGGGCCGCCATGAGTTGAATTAACCGCGTAAAGTGAGGGTTACAGTACAGGTTTGCCCTTAGGACAATATGTATTTAGGATGGTGTGTGCATGTAAATGAGTAAAAATAAATGAAGAAGGTTACTATATCTACCAAAAAATAAGTTGAAAAACATGTACAGTACTTAAATGTACATAAGAGACTATAAAAAAATTATTTTGTGCAAAATATATGATGTCTATATTCATATTATTCGCTCTCTTGCAAGGATTCCATCAATGCAATTTGTATTCTGCTAACTTTAGTCTATGCCATTTTATAAGATAAAATCTTTAAGCCTAAACCACCTTCAATCTTGCCGGAAGTCGGAGGGTGAGGTGATTTGTTATGACAGCAGCAGGGAAGGTTTGAGAAGGTTGCTTAGTGTGTATTTATCAGTTATACAGAGGGAGTTTGAAGCTTATAAAATGTCAATGAATGTGACTTTATAGTAATGCATACAAGCACCTCACCAGGCATCACACAAGGAGCTTTGAATTTATGTATATGTAATGTATTTCATGGGGCAAAGGGAAGCTCAGGAACGTAACTCCCGTATTTTATCTACCGGTATTTCTTATGGGGAAAAGTGATCCACCTAACGTTGTTTCGTATATCGTCACATTTTCAGGAACGTAACCCTGACATTAAGGGACGACTTACTATACGGTAATATATTGGATAGGTCCTAAAACAAAGCGTACGGCCTGTTTTGGCTCCGCCCTTTTATGAGTGAGTGTTGTCAGATTTCATTAGCCGTTGGTGACTTTGGTGTAAAAATATTGATAATTACTCAAATATGATTGAAACCTTAATATCATTACTCATAAGATAATTTAAATAAGGGAGAACAAATTGATTATAGTTCTGCAAGTGCAAAAATTAAGATTTAAACGAACCTGAAATTTGTCATATTTCATGTATAAATATGCGAGCACCTAGCAACGAGACACAACTTACGTAGTGAAGTAGCTGCTCTGGTTGTTACGTGTGGTTTCAGAGAGTCCGGGAGAAATTACCCTAAAAGGGCCCAATTTTTTTGTTATTCTTCTTTATTGTTGACTGATTGACTTTTTTCCCTTTTTGTCTTTCTTGCCATAATTTTCTAAATATTTTCTTCACTATTTCTTTCCATATTGTGTCCAAATAACAGTTCTCCTAATTTTAGTTTTTTCTGAAGACTGTGTTGTACAACAGTTATTCCCAAGGCGCAGTACGGTCGTATTTTTTTAATGACAGTCCGGGAAAGCTAACGCATTAGCTATTCTGTGCATCTACAATAAACACCTGGGCTATGTTGCTATGTTACATGCGCACACAATCTTTCACACAGACTGTGCAAAAATAAATTAAAAATATATACAGTAAATAATTATCATAAGGTTAAAAACATACAAGGGAATAAACTTTCTGTATGTGTTAAGAGTTCACGCTGAATGGGGGAGAGGGAATGTGAGATCTCAGTTCTACTGTGCAGTGAAATGATGACAGATTTCATTGTCCAACAGCAAAATGGAAATACACTAACTTTTTGCTTTATTTTATTTATTGGTATTATTTTTTTTTATTCCTCACATTTACTGGTGTTATATGTTATTTTATCTTTTTCCGCACAGGAGTTGATATCACTCTTCATAGTGTCAGCTTTTTCTTTCTTTTTTTAAATCAGGGATTGAAGTATACTATTGTAGTGGACGTCTCCCCTACAAACTAACTGCGCAGCAGCCCACCACCTGCTATCACATTCCAATGTGCCGCCTTCCCTAGCAACCAACCAGATGTTACCGTATCTTAGCAACGAAACTATTCACCGGCTACTTCTCGGGTTTTCCCACCATGACTCATAGCCGCTGCTGGGTGTATATAAGCTCTGTCTCTCCATTGAGAATTCAGTCTGACCAATCTTCTTGAACAAGCAACACCTCCTTCTCCGCCGCTGCCTGGCTGCCCCTCGCATCTCCTCCGCCTGCCTGGCGGTCCTCGCTCCCGCCAGCGAGCATGTCCTTCTCTGAGCTTCCTCACCAACCAACTCTCATTCTGCCCAGTTTCCTGAACAAGCAACACCTCCTCCTCTGCCGCTGCCTGGCTGCCCCTCGCATCTCCTCCGCCTGCCTGGCGGACCTCGCTCCCGCCAGCGAGCATGTCCTCTGAGCTTCCTCACCAACCAACTCTCATTCTGACCATTCTTCTTGAACAAGCAACATCTCCTCCAGCAAGCTCCACGCTGTTAACATTTCATTCAACCAGGAGGCCAGCAACAGGCAACACCTTCTCTAACGAAGCTCCTGCACATCTACCTCCTTCAACACGATACTCCCGAACGTCTTCTACTGAGCTGCTCCCCACCACACAGCATCTCCAGCACCAGACTGTCTATCATATAACTTATATATTATATAAGAAAACCACATTAGAGTTTCCTTCCATCCTGAGTACTAGACAACTTTAATATTTCGATACCCCTACACTATATGAGACTGGTTTATACACAGGAATATATGATAAATGAGATTAAAATTCAACTGCACTGATGATGGATTTTCTGATTTGGAATTTTCAAGAAAGATAAGTTTTCAACTGACATTCTAGCACAGGGGTGGCCAACCTTTTGTGTGATGTGATCTACTTTTTCCACAGTTACCCTGCCGCAATCTAACAGCCTAATATTCACCCATTGCCATAAAATATGCAGATTTGTAGAGAGAGAGAGAGTAAACAAATAATATCTCAATGATTATGAGTAAAATTTGAAGAGGATTTTTGTATGACAGCTTAAGAAGGATGGATCATTAAGTTTAACTTTGCCAAGCGATCGACGGGTTGGCCACCCCTGCTCTAGCACCTTACACGTGAGCTAGAGTATTTGCCTGGTCACTGAGAAAGGCTTTAACTACTGACCTCTTGTCAAGTGTGTTCAGGTACATACACTTCTTCACATTTTTCCAAATACATATACAGTACTATAAGCTCTCACATTAAATATGAACTTTCAGATGCAATCTTTCTGAATCCTAGCTGAAATATAATTTATCAAAGAATGTTTACAATGCCCTTAATATTTCTATGTACAAAATGTAAATTTTTATTTTTTATTTTTAAGCAAAATATATAATACAGGTTGTACCTCTCTAGTCCGGCATTCTGTGGTCCGGAAACTCCCGTGGTCCGGAACGATTTTAGTTTGTCCAATAGGCAGGTTTTTTTTTTTACTTATCTGAATTATTATTATTATTACAGGAGTATTAAATTTTTGCCCCTCAGGCCCCAATGTGGGTCAGTGACCTATGCCCAGGTGGGCTAATCCCCGTAAAAAAACAAAACAACAAAGCTGCGGAAAATTAAGGTTTGTTTACATCCGGCAGTTCGGCTCTCTCTTTCTCTCTCTCTCTCTGCTTGTCTATACAGAGTACAACATTTAACCCTTCAATATACATGAGCAGTAAATAAGTGTTGCTTTCATATTCTTATGTAAAGTAATGATGATATGTTTTCACGTGTGCGCACTTACACACGCGATCTCTTTTTTCTTTACCATTATCGTTAGCTACTTCTATTGTTCCATTTATTAACATTAAATAACATTACTTAAAACAACCATATTAATTTTACTACAGCTACAACCAGGGTTGTATTTTCTTCAGTTTTATATGTAGAACCAGTCAGTCACTGGTTTTGTAATCAACGAAAACAATGCTGTCTCATTTCCTCGTGTTTTAATATTCTACGTATTATTAATGAATTGTATTGCTCATTTTGCACACACAAACATTAATTCAATCAAAAAGACTTTCAGTAATAAACAATAATTAATGAATCTTTTGTACATAAGAGAAATGACACTGTTTACACGATTGTGCACGTCGTCTGAACGTTGGTGGGCCGTTCAAACCCGTCGAAATTCGAGTTTCCGCCGTCAAAATTTTTAAATGTGTTGTTTTTTTGTGTGTTCAAATAGAAAACGTCGAATTAAAAACTCGCGAAATTTGAGAAGCTACTGTATGACATTTAACCCTTCAATATGTCTTCAAAGAGACCATGAAGCAGAGAAAGTGGTGCTAGTGCTTCCAAGCGTAAACACAAGTCACTATCTATCCAGGAAAAGGGTGAATTTCCAAGGTCCGGCACCGGTCAGGTCCCGAGGTTGCCGGACTAGAGAGGTACAACCTGTATCTGAATTAATGGACACTCTGAAATATGGAATACTATTGTAATTTTCCACTACTGCATACCATTAATACCATAAGCATTCCCTCTCACCTCTTGACTTCATCTGCAGACTGAGCAATAAAGAATCCTTGTGTATTTGGTTGGATTTTTGTGGCTTTTGGATTGATGGCAATCTTGCTGTCTGTTCTCTCTTCGTTTTTTACTTCAATGGCCAGTAAAAGAAGTTTCAGCTTTGAGAAACATAGTCTGTAAAGTAAATATGATTAACTTATTCTGTTAACTGTACAGTACTATCATATCATGCTTCATATTCTATGTATGTTTAATGGTGAGTTTCGTACGTATGTACTGTACATGATATATTATGCAGTAACCATATTTCACAAAAGTCACCTAAATAATATATTCTGTACAAAAAATATCACAGGTGTTAAAAAAACTTGTTATAATGCACAGCAAAACAAGAGCAGTGTATTTACCACTACTCTATTGCCACCAAGAGGCAAAACTTATCATCAGCTTTACTTATAAACCTCAGCTTTGTTTATTTAAATTTTAGTTACAATGTCAAATCTTAGCATTTACAGTATTGAAAGATTCACTACATGTACAGTTACTGTACTGTATTGGGTTTATCCAGTGAGGAGCTCCGGGCAAGGACAATACAAAGCAATTTGAGTTGTATGTAATATACAGTACTCTTAATGTTTTAACTATATTGTAATCTATAATTTCCACAAATTATAAAGTTACTTGATGTTTGGGCAGTTACTCTGTTCTTTTTTACTTTTTTATGGCCTTCAATATCCATTGTTAGAACTCAAGCAAACCAGAGTACCCAGAGAAAACTTGTGATGTTTAGTAGGGTCACACTGGATAATACCCTTCTCACATCTAACCCAGGATGGGGTTTGATCCCCACACAGCAGTGTGAAGCATGAGTGTTACCGCTGTACCACCAATCCCCCTTATAATTATTTCAAAATCGTTTAACTTTATCTACATTTTCTGGCATATTATTACTTTTGTTGCTTGTCTACTTCTCATCTGGAGCACCTCATGTACTTTATCATCATTATGTTTTTTAAAGAGTTAACCCCTTTGACCAGGGGAATTACAGTACAGGTATAAATAAAAATTAGTTTAAAAAAAATTAGGATAGTTATCAAACAGCAAACACACTGATAGGAAATTTGTCATATCATGCAATGGCATTTTAAGAGCTAATAAGTACTTACCTAGATCTTACAAACAGATTCTCCATTCATAGAATATGAGAGAACAAGAGAGAGCACAGTACTGGATTCATTTGTGTATGTGTATGTGTGTGTTTTGGGAGGTTTATGTGTATATTTGTGCATAAATATATGCATTGCAACTGTATATGAGGTGGGGTGAGCTTCAGTATAAGTATGCACTTAGTATTAAAGAATACATTTTGTTTGGATGTGCATAATAAGCTGTCTTACTGTTTGTAATTATTCTACAGGACAACTTACTCTGATGCTTGAGGGAATGTCATGGCCACAAAACTAGGTGAGAGTGTCTCCGTGTACATTTCACAGCCAGTTCCACAGAGGTAGTCATTCTGCCAGGCCTGCATATCTGGAGACTGAGGAAAACACAAGTGTCCAAATACACTCTACTATGGCACACAATACCTTAGAAGAAATCAAAACTTGTTACCTCAATGGTTAGTTCACACACACAGATCTTCCTTTAGAATGAGCACTCTTTCAGACAATATAATACTGTTGTGAAAAAGACTTAAGATACCAGAATAAATATATTCGTGGTCAAATTTTGCAGTTACAGTACTTTGAAAGTACTATAATGGTGATTTTTTAATATTCCCCCTTATTACACAGTAAGTCTATCTTTGAAGTTTCTTGAAGAGTTTAGAGAAATGCCATTTATTGACTGTCAACTAGAATATTGTCCGAGTGAACGCAAACAATACTGCATTGTCAGCTTCATTCAAAACTTGACAATGCTGTATTAAAGTCAATTACAATACAGGGTATATGCATATACAATAAAAATGTCTTTTCTTTGAACAAGATATATCCTCACACTCCTGATTTATCAGAGCCTTCAGAGGATTAAATCATTGCTTAAAAAAAAATCGAAACTTCAAAACAGGCAGTATACATATGGAACAGGGAAAGTTAGAATGAAACTTGGGTCATAAACATAACATGTTAGTAGATAAATACAGTATCACCGACACATCGTCCAGGTTGTATCAATTGACCATCACAGTTACTTACGCTGATGTTTCCCCAAACTCAAGATCCACAAAAGCTGGGCTGAGAGTCTCTGTGTACATCTCCATGCCAGAGCCCTGCTGATAATGATCCTGCCACGGCGACATGTCGGGCGACTACCAGATAATACATTGATAATTAAGCTTTCAGTTGTTAGGGAACAACTGTATACAATAATACTTTGCATTCTAAATTTACAAATATTTGTTGCATATTGGCTATTTAGGAAATATACCGTAATTTTCTTGATCAAAATTGTCTAAGTTAATATTTCCCACTGAAGTTGCTACCTTTGTTACATGTACTGTATGTACACACAGTACAATACTGCATGCTCTTTCTGTTGGTCAGTGTCTGTAACAAAAGATGTTCTAATAAATGCTTAACTAATCAGATTGAGAGCAATAAAATAATGAACAAAGTTAGTTTATAAAACTTTGTTTTCTGAACAACAATATACAGTATAGAAACATCTGTCAACATAAAAAAGCCACCATTTCTTCCCCAGTTACATAAATGTCCTGATTTTTGTCAATCCTTGTTCAGCCTATTCATTACACCCCTGCAAAAAAAATCATCTCCTTTGCTTTCACTGGCATGCTTGAAACTTCTAATAAAAGCCCAAGATATACTTGTACCAATATGGATCTTGGGTGAGGAGTTTATAATACATCTACTTGAGAGTCCACGAAGAGATGAGAACGTAATGTAGGCTGTTCCCTGCACTCAAGAGCACAATATAGTCACGTCATGCAGGCTCTGCCCACACAGTACAGTACAGTAGTTGTATCTACAAGTATCCGTAAAACATCTCCAACACCAACCATGTCCATATAACTACCAGTAAAGGTTTAAGACTTAACAACAATGTTTTAATCTTTTATAAAAATCTGCACTTTTGGTTTGATGAACACATTATTGTATCTTAAATAGCATCATCTCCTCCACGGTTTCTTTGCCTGAGATGGGTAATGCTGAGGAGAAACACTTACACCTAGATGTACCCTGCTGTATCTCATCTCTTTGCTGACCGAGTGAGTTGAATTATCTTGTTTGGAACACCTCATATGACTGGTTACAATCAACCCTACTCCATTCCATAGATGTTGAACAAGGTTTATGCTGCAGATAGTGTATTTTAGACTATAAAATAGATAAAAAAAAATTACAGATGGTGTTGGTATGGGAAAAAAATTGCATGTAAACATTGTCTAAAATTATCTAACATGTGGATAGCAGAAGGTCTACTGCTCACTGACACTTTCATATTATCTCATCACTTGACATCATGCTTTCTGGCCATGCATGTGTGCTCCTGCACCCTGGAGGACCAACTCCCTACTCACTTCTCTCTCTCTCTCTCTCTTTCATATCAACCTTTGAATTATATATGTACTTTTAACCACTCTCTCACATCCCATTCAATCAACATCAACATATTCATACCACCTTTGCAAATCCTGGTAAGGTCTCTGTTCAATATTCCTTTCACTACAATGATTCCTTCTTATATCTGAGTGTCACATTCTTTGCACCACATTCATAGCACATATTTCTTTCAATAACATAAGTTCTACCTACATATCTCTCTAGAATGATTGTACCATACATCTTCCCAAATATAATTAATTACAGTACCTGTATCAGACATTTCTCCATCATCCTCACATTTATTCTTATCACTTTTCCTTTGTACAGAAAACTAAACACACCCTCTAACATGCCCCTGGTACAGTGCTTACTTCTCCATCATAGATGACCCACACATTAGTGCTTACTTACAGTTTTGTATGATCTCATGGCAAAGAGGTTGGCCATCATGGTAGAGAAGCCTGGAGCCAAACACGACTGTGCAATGAAGCCTAATTTGAGCTCTGCTAAGCAGATAACATCATCACCACGTTTCCAGTCCCAAGAAGGGATGTTCAACAGGTAAGCCTGGAATAAAAGACATGGAAAATCTATACGCACATCTGGCAGTTCAAATTAAAATTAATTTACTCTATAGTATGTCTAAATCAACCAACTGTAGTTAAAAAAAAAAAAAAAAAAAAAAATTATATATATATATATATATATATATATATATATATATATATATATATATATATATATATATATATATATATATATATATATATATATATATATATATATATATATATATATATATATATATATATATATATATATATATATATATATATATATATATATATATATATAGTAGTACCCGATTTACACGGTCAATTGAACCCACAGGGTACTGCGGAAAGTGAAAACCCGCGTAAAGTGAACAACAGAACATATGGGATTAATTCCAATAGAGATTGGCCCGACCCCCAAACTCCACTTTTTCCGACACAATACCTATGTTGTAGTAAAAATAACAGCTAAATTTTATGATGGTATGCTCACACAATTAATATTTAAGAGAAATACAGTCGCCAGGTTAATGTCCATTCAAATAATGGACTCAAATCCCCCCACCCCCCCTCTTCCCAGCTCACTAGCTCCTACCTCTCTGAGAAATGTTTGGGTGAAACCACTAGAGTTTAACGTTTAGTAATAGATAATACCTCAGACTAAAGTTAGGATAATATAATTGACATTTCTGGATTCCTTGCATGTCAGGGAATATTTTGAATGTACACTTCATATATTTTGCACACAAGATAAAATATTTGCTTTGTGTAAACCAAATTATTACATTAGATCTAAAATTTGTATGTCTAATGCAAAATCCATGATGTTTATATTCAAAATGTTCATCATATTGTAAGAATTCCAGCAATGTAAATTATATTCTGGCCGAGTAATTTGTATGAATTTTATGAGCTAAAACAAATATCTTCCATTAATAAAAAAAAAAAATATTCTTCACGACACTATCTGTCAATCAAAGTACCCCACCTTGCCTCCTCCCCCCCCTCCTCACACTCACGCCAGCTGGGTCTGTCGGTCCCAACCCTCCCCCCCCACCCCCCACCTTCCCTCCCTACCAGAGAAATGTTTCGGTGAAAAAACTAGATTTTAACATTTAGTAATAAATACAATACCTCAGACTAGAGTTAGGATAATATAATTGACATTTCTGGATTCCTTGCAGGTCTGGGAATATTTTGAATGTAAACTTCATATATTTTGCACAAAAGATAAAATATTTGCTTTGTGTAAACCAAATTATTACATTAGATCTAAAATTTGTATGTCTAATGCAAAATCCATGATGTTTATGTTCAAAATGATCATCATATTGTAAGAATTCCAGCAATGTAAATTATATTCTGGCCGGGTAATTTGTATGAATTTTATGAGCTAAAACAAATATCTTCAGTAAATAAATAAAGAAATATTCTTCAAGGACACTATCTGTCAATCAAAATACCCCACCTCCGCCCTCCCTCCCTTCCTACCCCCCACCTTCCCTCCCTACCAGAGAAGCGATTGGGAGAAAATAGTATATTTACATTTTTAGTAATAAATAATAACCCAGACTAAAGTTAGGATAATACAATTGACATTTATAGATTCCTTGCAGGTCAGGGAATATTTTGTATGTAAACTTCATATATTTTGCACAAACGATAAAATATTTGCTTTGTGTAAACCAAATTATTACATTAGATCTAAACTTTGTATGTCTAATGCAAAATCCATGATGTTTATATTCAAAATGATCATCATATTGTAAGAATTCCAGCAATGTAAATTATATTCTGGCAGGGTAATTTGTATGAATTTTATGAGCTAAATAAAAAAAAATAAAAAATAAATTATACTTCACCGCGAGTAGATGCACCACGGAAAGTGAAAGTCCGGTTCTGGCAAGGTACCACGTAAATGATCGCGGAAAGTGAAACCGTGTAAAGCGGGGTAATACTGTATATATATATAGTATATATTACTTGTAACAATTAGTGAAACCATTGAAATGGTGATTTTATAATCTTAAAAACATTACAGTACCATGCATGGATATGGATACTTAGCTATAGGTATATCTGAAATGTAAACAGGTAAATACAATACTAATTACAGTAATGTACACTTTAAAGTTAAGAATTATCAATCACTAACCTTATTGTGATATTGCATAAGTTGTATAATGACTCTAATGTCGTCTGAGTAATTCTTGATGGAGATAACACGCATAATATTGGCAGCATCCTCAGCATCGGGGTCTTGACAATATTTATTGGCTAGCACAAGGCACGCATCAGCTTCATGTACCTGTTACATGCACCACACTCAATCAACACATGTTCAAAGGTAATCACTTACCAGAGACTAATCAGTAACAGTATTGCCAAGAACATGATGGGGCACCTATACCTGAAACCTTTCCCTAATAAGAAAAGTTGTAGAAGTTTAATAGTACAAAACTAGCAGCATATATTTAGGAAAAACATGCACAATACCTTATTATTTTAATATGAGTAATTTGCTGTAAATTTAATATGAAATCTAGACAAAGAATAAATAAAGGTAAGAAGAGTGTCAAAGTAAGACACCATACTCTTTTTATTGTGTTACTAAAAGAGATTGTAAGTGTTCCTATTTTAAACAAGTTGAAAGTCAATACAGCACAAACTAAGATTACTAAGACTGAAGAAATATCCTTTACATGTATACCTTAAACTAATCCTTTACATGTATACCTTGAACTAACAATTCCTTTCATTGTCATTAATTACAACAACAGACACAAACTCAAGACAAATGTAAGTAGCTTGAGTAAAGAGGCAAGGGCATCTTAGTGAGAGACTGGTGCAGTGGATTTTACTGAGGAGGTTCTTGATGAAATGGTGGGAAAAGGTAGCCGTTTCGATGTAGTTACTGTCGTTATTGCTTTATGTATGTCTTCATTAAGACCAAAATAGTTAGTTGTGTTTCTGAAAAGGACATGCTTTTACTAACAAGCACTGCATGATATGAATTGGTCCTAAGATGCATCAGCAGAGGCTGGTCAGAAAATTTTTTGTCAGAAAGTCAGTCAGTATTGGTATTCATAAAGCTGGCTGATGCAGTTCAAGAGAGCCTTGGATCAGTGTACAATCCTTTCATCCATTATAGTCAAGCAGCTGGCTAAAGGCCTAACTATTGCTATAATTTGGCTAATTTTGATGAAAACAACTGATAATCTAATTAGCTCCCCTATGTATACAGTACATATAAACACGCCTAATTATTTTTCCTTAAATGTGCTATCAAACAAATTCAGAAGCTTAAAAAAAATATTTATAATCATCATGTTGAAAACCAAAAGTCAAATTGTGTATACAGGAGGCTTTTGATTATCCATGGAGGTTGGTGTCAGACCCTCTGTGAGTAATCTATTGTTGTGGATAAATTATGTCATATAGCAGTCAACTAGAAACACGAAAAGCCTAAATATAAAAAAAAAAAAAATTTGAACCCACTGAATTTCTGTATTTAAATACCCAGTATTCCTTCACCTCCATCCAAAAACAATTATCAAATCAGTCCTATAATTTTGTTTTTATCATATACCCGGGAACTGGTTATCCCTGTACTGTATTGGCTTAAAAATGAATGGAAAGCACTTGTTTATTCTTTAATGGATAAGGTCTGGCAGCCCAGCCAATACTGAGAAGCTGATGCTTTCCACATTAATTTATCTTTCCTGTGAATATTGAATTCCTATAACTATTTCTGTTTCTAAATCTGGAACAGATTATAAAATGAAATTAAAAAAATTCTCTACAATTTAGCTACAGGTATTACTATATTAAAGTAAAGAAAAATCCTGATTGGCAAATAAATTTGACAATATTGGAATCAAATGAAGCTAATATTACATAAAATTGCTAAAATGCAAAACAATTTTAAGAGACAAAAGAGCACCCAAGAGAAGAACTGGAGTAAAGGAAAATGTATGTTATCTTGGCAATACAGTGTATACTGACTGTCTTGGTAAAATCTTATCTTGTATTGCATTACAGTATTTTCAATTCATTATGCACTCACAACTTTGTAATATATCACATGACATATTCAGTGCCTACTGCACGAATATGATGTGGCATCTATTTCTATAGCCACTCAGTACTACTTAAAGCTGCACCTGTACCTTTAATAAAATTATTTATAGATCATTATTTTCATTATACGATATGTATCAAAAAGTTTATATATACAATCATACAGTATCAAAGACATATTATATAAAATATATGCCACTTCCAGTAAAAACATAAAACCAATGCATTTTATCAACAAGGTAATCTATTCCATAAAGATTAAAGAAAAAACAAATTGAATGTATCATTAGATATATAAAATTATACATAAACCATTCCATGGAGAACACAGTATTCTAAAAATTTAAGGGAAGAACATGCATTTAGTGTGGGTGTTAGGGGTTCAATAACAAGATTCTTAGCTTGTCTGGAGGATCATGCAACATGCTCAAGCAATATTACCATGCAGAGGGTTCTGGTCGCTGACGTGCCCACTTACCCTTCATACCGCATCTCTGAGGAACCCACATAAGGTGTTCTGGAGCCAAGGACTGTGGCGCTGCTACTTGGTCTACTCATGGTCCTAATCCATAAGCTACTGCAGGTTGAGGATATGGTCACCTTCTTCAAGGTCACCCACTCCTCATTACCACTGGGGGGTCAGGTTATCTGACTATTTTTCCCACACATTTGCCAACTTATATACTTAACTACCAAAACACTGTTAGGCAGCTAACTTGCTATCACTCCCAAAGGCGAAGCAGACCTATGCTTATAAACTACCTTGATACTGAATTGTTTTTTATCTATATTTTCCAAAAGCTTTCAAATTTTACTTCTACCTATATTAGGTAATAGATAACTTTCTAATTTTCTCAAGGCATTCTTTAGATCTACTCTCAACAGAAGAGGTGGTTCCTCTTACTAACACTTCTCAAAGTCAACCTCTTCCAATAAACAACTCAACTACAAAGAAGAGATGATACCTCTATTGATACTTTCCCACATTACCATCTTCCAGTAAAGACCTAAAACCACTACCCTCATTAGTAACTTGTGTTCAGCTCTAAACAGCGATAAAAAGTAATATGGGTATACTTGTTGCATTTCACGGAAAACAAACAAAATCATGGTAAGATACATAGCATGGAAGTCTCCATCTATCTGAATAAAATTTTGTACAGTACTATAGTTTTGCTCTTAAGAGCCACATAAAGGCTCTCTTTATATATTCAGCAAGGTTTCACAACACAGCATTATGTGATAACTAGCGAAATTTTTTTTTAATAAATCATATATTTTCCAAATACAGCTACTCCTCGACTTACGACATACTTGACCTATGACCACCCGGACATACAACCGCCTCAGTCAAACCAAAAATTTTTCAAATTACAGTACGTATTTTTGAGTCCCAACGTTAGTAATTGCGCTGTGTACTGACAAAATTTTTGTTTGTAATTCACTTTAAAATGGCTGGCAAGCTTAAGAGTGAGAGTTTTGTGGTGCTAAGAAGAAAAAAAGACACCCATTTTAGATTTTCTATGTATTTAAGCATTTTCGACTTACGACCTGGATTTGGGTCCCTAACCCCGTCGTAAGTCGAGGAGCAGCTGTACTTTAACAAGAAAGGAACATTAAAAGATTAGGATAATCTCTGATGGTAAAATACACAGGATATTAAGATATGCTAAAAATATGTTTCTATTGATGAATCTTTTGTCAAAGGTGTTATTAGCAAACTTAAGTGTAACAAACTGTGCTTAAATCTTGCTGGTATCTGAGAATCAGAGAGGATAATATGGGCATTCTTTGCCAAAGTTTTCTTAATTGCTTAGTATTTCATGTTAATATACTGAAATAAGTTAATATGTCCTTGTAAGGATAATGCCAGTATCTTTCATGAGTAATAAAGGAATCAGAGAAAACCTCTTCTTTTTGTATTTTAAGAAAGGTGTTTGATAGTGATCAAAGTGTAGTATATGATGATAATCCATTATAATCTACAAAAGGACATATGGCAACACAACAAGATATGTACAGTATGTGAAAATGAATTTAAGCAACAAAAGAAAGGATCACATACAAAAAATTTTGGTCAGGCTGAGTCCTTAACAAAACAGGAGCCAACACATTCATCGTATATACTCGAGTATAGTTCGAGTTCTTATGATAAAATTTTTATGCAAAAAGTAGGGGTCGAACTATATACATGTAACATTTTTTAGGGGGTAAAATCCATAAATTTCCGTAGGTCATTTATTTACGTGAATGATAGCTACCCAGTACAGCACATGCTCACAGTAGGCTAACCTTACCAATAAGCTCCTTTATCCTGGGCTTGACTACCATATCCTTACTCTTTCTTTATGTAGGTAGTAGGCAGCTACCAAACAGGGAGGTACTACCGCCTGGGAAGATATTGGAAGCATAATGTTGTCTAATGGTAGACCCAGATTGCTGATCTGACTTTCTGTCTCATTTACACACAATTGCAGGGTCTCAATTGTTTCTCATACTATTGACAACACAACATACATACCCCATATATCATTTCTCACTATTGATATATTTTTTTTATTTTTTTATTTATTTATTGCTCTTTATTATTACTGTACTATTATTATTATTATTATACATAATTATAATTTATATTAATGTTATTAATTTTATTATTATTATTATTTTATTATATTTTCGCCCCCCAGGCCTTGATGAGGTTCATAAAATGACCTGTGCCCGGGTGGACTAATGCCCGTAAAAAAAAAAAATGAAGAGCAGAACCTCATTCACTATATAAATCTATAAAAACCTGAAGCAAAATTAAGATTTAAAGATATTTTTTCATTTGCATATGTTAACATCGCTGGTGGCATTGTTGCCAAGTTAGACTCATCACTGTAGCCAGATTCCCCTCGCTCTCTCACTACCAGGCTGAGCTGTGAGCTATGTTATGGTTATTTTTCAATTTGTAATTTTGGGTAGATATACCGTACATAACTGTCTTCATTTTTCTTACTGAGTTACATTATGCACATTTCTTTGTTCATAAGAGTTACCCTGCTGAGCAGAAAAGTGGGAGAGAATGTAGGAGCACCATTGCTTGAGGTAGGCGGAGGCAGTGTTCCAGCTGGGCTGTTACTATGGGCCACGGCGAGCATCGAGGCCAGGTGGCCAACCAGCATTTCTGAGACTGCTTTTATTACGCTTTCATTATTGCTATTTATATGCTTTTTGTTATTGCTGATT